TGCTCTTCAACACTTTAAAAAGGTCTTGTACAGCAGATTTTCCTAGTGCAATAAATACATCATCTGATTTCTTAACTGCTGCTTCCCTGAGTGTTGATAGTTGATCCAAGAAGAATGAAGTCCTTGAAAACAGGCACATAGCAGGCTACATACTGGACTTAACTTCAAGGTGACATATTTGAATCTACCAGCAGCTCTGTGGCAGAAAGATGAAACTTTCTGCTCCCATAAAGATTTACAGCCTCGAAAACCCTGTTATACAGGGTCTCTATGAGTTGGATCTGACTCCACGCAACACAACCACCACCACCAGTAAGAATTCAGAATATTTTCTGATTGTGTTGTGCACATTTTTAACATAACAAGTCTTTCAAGTATGATAACCCCACATTATTATATTTTTTCTATAATTTTTCACCTACACATAATTTCTCAAGCAGAATATAAAATGACAGGTTCGTAAAGATTCAACTCACTGAAAATTCCCCAAATCTGTTTCCATATCGTCAGCTTTCAGATTGAGCTAAACAGATAAACTTCCCTTTTCTGAGCCCCACAGCCACTGTTACTTTACTTGTACTATCTTTAGGGAACTTACCCTTTAAACACAATCTCAACATGAAATCATTGCGAATTCTTAACTTACCCACAAAATAGCAACAATTTCTACTGTTGCTGCTGTGTGCCGTTGAGTTGATTCCAACTCATATGACCCTGTTTGGGGTTCCTGAGTCTGTAAATCTTTATGGGAGCAGAAAGCCTCATCTTTCTCCCATAAAGTAGCTGGTGGATTCAAACTGCTAGCCCTAGTGGCTAGCAGTCTAATGCATAACCCACTACAACACTAGGAGGGCTCGGACAATTTCTACTAAAGTCTCACCGTTGTTTGATCTCTAAAATTGAAAGGATCCTGGCAATGTTTTTTTTGTTTTTGTTTTATTGTGTGATAGTTTACATGGGGGAACATTAGTTTTACATTCATTCTATCATACATCGTTTCATTGCCATAGTTACCATCCCGCCCATGTATCATCACCCAACCAAGGGGTATACCCTGCAAGCGCCCCACTCCCACCCCCACGGTGCTCAGCACACAGCCCCTTTCCCTCTCAGGATCTCATGTCCTCAGCCACTCCATCTCTTCATGTCATCCTCTCTGTCTCCATCTCAGGTCTCACTGCTTCTCTGGGTGGGGTCTATCTCTGCTCTTCTCTACTAATTATCCCAGGGCTCTCTGCTCCTAGACTGAAAGGTTAATCACTCCCCTCCTTGCTATAAAATATCCACCTTTACATTCCCAGTCCTCACAATCAGTCCTGATAACAATTTTTCACCATTGCATCACACGAGACCCATCTGCATATCTTTTCATCAGCCTTTCCTAGACTGGTTGGGTACTACTCACTGGAGACTCTAACATCCTCCCCGCCCTGTGGATCTAGGTTCCCTCTTGAAAGCTTGTAAGCCAGTCACTTCTTACCTTTGTATCCCTCCCCCCATTTTGGGTAGCCAATGTTCAAGTTGCCCATCCCTATCTGCTCTTTGTGCGAAGGGGGTGGGAGTAATTCTTGGAGTAGGGATTTGTTTCCTCTGTTGAGCTACTGCATTTATAGGTGCAGGTCAAGTTTATCAAGTTGTATCAGATGACACTATTTTTTTCTTCCCCCCCCCACCACCCCTTTCTTTCTTCTTCGGGTTGAGCTCTGTTCATCCAGTCATTGAAGCCAGGTCAAGTGGGTATCATCTGCAAGTGTGGGTGTTCTTGCGTCTGTCCGCCCTCTTCTTATCAGCTGATCGCTTTGCTCCCCACTCTAATCCTCTGTGGCTGTGTCTCTGACTCTGAGCCCATGAGTTCCTGGGTCCTGCCTCGCTGCTGGCTAATCAAGTCTCCACCAGGGTTCCCAGTAGTCTGCCAAACGATGCAGGACTTAGCTCGCCACTTCACTGATGCTCACTGGCAATGTTTTATAATTAGGTTAGGCTTTCTTAACAAAGTAGAATTCATTTCACAGAATATTAAAAAATATAAAGATTTTACATTAGAAAAGAGACAGAAAAAAAGATTCAAACTTTGAAATGGAATAATCAGTTAGAATAGTCTATATCTACACTGTCCACTATAGCAAATCACTAGTCAAATGTGGTTGCTGAGTACCTGAGAAATGGAAATTTTAATTTGACTTCATTCAAATGAATCTAAATGAGGTATACAGTGGTTAGGTCTCAGCTGTCAAACCAAACGGTGGTGGTCCGCAATGGCCCCACCAGCTGCTTCATGGGAGAAAGATGTGGCAGTCTACTCCTAAGATTAGATCCTTGGAAATCTTATGGGAGCGGTTGTATTCTGTCCTATAAGTGTTACAGTGAGTCAGGATTGACTCAAAAGGAACAGGTTTAATCTAAATTTAAGTAGCCACAAGTGATTAGTGGTTACTGTAATGAACAGAGGACAACCTGATGTCAAAAATGAACATATCAATAATTTTAATTCCAGATATACAGGCTCTAGTGAAGACCAATCAATCGTGTAAAAATTGTTTTCCTGCTTCAAATTAAGCTCTTTTTTAAATCTTCATATCAAGTTTTTAAAGTATTATGGACACAAACATTATTTCTAATTCGATTATAACAACTAATTCCTAATCAAGAAGATTACCATGATGTCACAACACTAGTGTATGATATTTAGGGTATAGGAAAA